AAAAAAAAGTGCTAACCCTGTATTAAAGATGGGTCTAAATCAAAATTAATTGATCTACATCAAAATGAAGAACTTCTGTTAAATAAAAGATAGTGCTATTAGGAGAATACTAAAAAGGAATCCACAGAGTGAGAGAAGATGTTTGCATTATATATATTTGATGAAAACTCATAACAGAATAAATAAAGAACACAAAAATCAATAAAAATAAGACAACCGAATATTAAAATTGAAAAGGCCAAAATAGGCATTTTTTGGGGGAATATCTAACGGCCAATAACAAATTAACAGGTGCTCTACGTTATTAACCATCATGGAAATGCAAATTAACCCACAAGAAAAAATAACATACACAGCAGAATGGATAAAATGACAAAATATCTATCATATTTTATAGAAGATGTGGAGTAAATACAATTCTTGTGTGCAGTTACCAGGAGTTTATATATGTTTAACCACTTTGGAAAACTGCTTGGCAGTGTCTACAAAAGTTAAACATATACACACCAGTGAAACTATAAATCCATTCTCAGGTTTTCATCCAATAGAAGTGCAAATATATGTTCATCAGAAGACATGTCTAAGAATGTCTAAGCAGCACTCTATATAATTAAAGGAGCTCTAGTGGTACAGTATTTAAAATATTCAGCTACTCACTGAAAGGTAAGTAGTCCAAACCCACCAGCATTCCCACAGGAGAAAGATAAGGAAGCATGCTTCCATAAAGACTTAAAGCCTTGGAAACCCTAAGAGGCAGTCCTACTCTGTTCTATAGGGCTGCTAAGAGTCAGAATCAACTCGATAGCAATGGGATTTTGGGTATACATGATAAACCAAGCTTCAAAAGAATCCAAAGCTCCAATAATTAGAACGAATTCTACATGTAAGTGAGAACATACATACCATAACTGCAAGCAAAGACACGAACAAATATCACAAAAATTAACACAATGTTTGATTTCATTATATACACTCATACATCAGTTAACATCCATGATGATGTTGTTGTTGTTGTTATGTGCCGTCAAGTTGGACCCGACTCATAGCGACCCCTCCTTGGGTTTCCAAAGCAGTATCACAACGGAAGTAGATTTCCCAATCTTCCTTCCAAGAAGTGGTGCTGGGTTTGAACTGCCAGCCTTCTGGTTAGCAGTTGATGTTATGTGTTTGGACATTGTGTAAACAACATATTATATACAATCAGTCTCCAGATTATGAGTGAGTTATATTTCTAATTCTGCCCTTAAATAAAATTTGTACTAAGAACAGTTAGGTATAATTCATATCTTGGCATGTGATATATATTATACATTCCTATGCATAAAAATAAGAAAAATACGCACACACTCAAACATCATTAACATTATAATATGGTAATAATAATGTTTTAATGCATGTCACAAAGGAGCACATTTCTTATTATGAACCATGGTATGTACTTTGCATTTTTAATATAATAGGCTTTAGAGGGGTTGAGAACACAGAAGTATAACTGGTTGGAGGTTACCTGAATAGACATTACACAACACATGGCTGTAGTTTGAAAGCAAGTAAAATTACTACATAAAAGTTAAAAGTATCACCACTTGTGTGTCAGTTTGTTATACTGTGGTGGCTTGTGTTGCTGTGAGGCAAAGGTCTTTCAAATACCAGTAGGAAGATCCATGGTTGACATGTTGCAATGGAGCTTCCAGACTGAGACAGACTGGGAAGAGTGACAGAGCCATTCACTTCTCAAATAATTAGCCACTGAAAACCTCATGAGTAGCAACGGAACACTTTCTTATATATATACTACTGGAAAACTTTATGAATCGCCATGAAACACTGTCTGACACAGTGCCAGAAGATGAGCCCCTTAGGTTGGAAAGCACTCAACATATAACTGAAGAGGAACTGCCTCCTGAAACTAGAGTCAACCTTAATGACAGGTATGGAGTAAAGTTTTCAGGACCTTCATTTCCTGATAGGGCATGGCTCAAAATGGGAAGAAACAGCTGCAAAAATTCATTAGTAATCAGAATGTGGTATGTACGAAGAATGAATCTAGGATAAAGGAAAGTTGTCAAAACTGAAATGGACCACATAAAGAGCTATATTCTAAACATTAGTGAGTTGAAATGGACTGGTATTGACCATTTTGAATCAGAAAATCATATGGTCTATTATGCTGGAAATGACAAATTAAACAAGAAAGGCACTGCATTCATTATTAAAAATAATATTTGAAGATTTATCCTGAAGTACAACTCTGTCATTGATAGGATAACATCCAAACACCTATAAGGAGAACAGTAAACATGACTATTATTCAAATTTATGTATCAACCATTAATGCCAAAGATGAAGAAATGGAAGATTTTTACCAACTTCTGCAGTCTGAAATTGACCAAACACACAATCAAGATGTATTGATTATTATTGGTGATTGGACTGTGAAAGTTGGAAACAAAGAATCATCAATAGTTGGAAAATATGGTTGTGGTGATTAAAATTATGCTGGATATTGCATGATAGAGTTTTGCATGTCTAATGACTTATTCGTTGTAAATATATTTTTCAACAACAAAAAATGGCAGGTATATATATGGAACTTACTGGATCAAATCCACAGGAATCAGATCGACTGCCTGTGTGGAAAGGGGTGATGGAGAAACTTAACGTCATTGTCAAAACAAAGCAAGTCACACTGTGTAACAGATCATGAATTACCCATGTGCAAGTTCAAAACTTGAAGCTGAAGAAAATTAAAACAACTTCACGTGAGCCAAAATATGACATTGAATATACCCCACCTGAATTTAGAGACCATCTGAAGAACAGATTTGACACAACAAAAAACAAAGATGAAAGATCATTTGGGGATGACATCAATAACATCATACATGAAGAAAACTAATGATCATTAAAAAGATAAGAAAACAAGAAAAAGCCAAAATGGATGTCAGAAGATTCTTAAACTTGCTCTTGAGACACGAGTGTTGTTGTTGTTGTTAGGTGCCGTCGAGTCATCTCTGATTCATAGTGACCCTATGCACAGCAAAACAAAACACCACCTGGTCCTGAGCCAGCTCCATGATTCTTGTTATACTCGAGCCCATCACCACTGCCACCGTATCAATCCACCTTGTTGAGGGCCTTCCCTGCTTTTGTCAACCCTCCACCATACCAAGCATGACATACATCTCCAGGGAATGGTTCCTTCTGACAACATGACCAAAGTAGGTAAGATGAAGTCTGGCCATTCTTGCTTCCAAGGAGCATTCTGGCTGCACTTCCTCCAGAACAGACCTGTTAGTTCTTTTAGGAGTCCATGGTACTTTCAGCATTCTGTGCCAACATCACAGCTCAAAAGGATCAACTCTTCCTTGGTCCTCCTTATTCACTGTCCAGCTCTCACATGCATATGAGGTGATTGAAAATACCATGGCTTGTGTCAGGGGCACCTCAGTCCTGAAGGAGACATCTTTGCTCTTCAACACGTGAAAGAGGTCTTTGCAGCCGATATGCCCAGTGCTATACGTCATCTGATGTTCTGACTGCTGCTTCCATTGGGGTTGATTGTAGAAACAAGCAACATGAAGTCTCTGACAACTTCGATCTTTTCTCCATTTATCATAATGCAGCTTATAGGTCCAGTTGTGATGATTTTTGCTTTCTTTATATTGAAATGTAATCCATATTGCAGACTGTATTCTTTAATCTTCATCAGTAATTATGTCAAGTCATTCTGATTTTCAGCAAGCAAAGTTGTGTCATCAGTGTACTGCAGGTTGTTAATGATTATTCCTCCAATCTTGATGGCATGTTCTTCTTCATAAAGTCCAGCTTCTCGGATTGTTTCCTCAGCATAAAGATTGAATAAGTATAGTGAAAGGATACAACCCTGACACAACAACCTCCTGCTCTATGTACAAGTTCCTCGTGAGTACAGTAAGTGTTCTGGAATACCCATTCTTCTCAATGTTACCAATAATTTGTTATGATCCACACAATCAAATGCTTTTGCATAGTCAATAAAACACATCTTTCTGGTATTCTTTGCTTTCAGCCAAGATCCCTCTGACATCAGCAGTGATATCCCTCATTCCACATCCTCTTCTGAAACCAGCTTGTATTTCTGGAAGTTCTCTGTCAATATACTGCTGCAACCATTTTTTAATTATCTTCAGTGAGATTTTACTTGCATGTGATATTAATGATATTGTTGGATAATTTCCACATTCTGTGGGATCATTTTTCTTTGGAATTGGTACAAATACGGATCTCTTGCAATCATTTGGCCAGGTAGCTGCCTTTCAAATCTCTTGGCATAACTGAATGAGTGAGTGCCTCCAACGCACCATCGTTTGTTGAAACATCT